GTGGTTGCTTATTCAATGTGTTCGATAATAATTAAGCAGAATTCTCTTTTTACCTTATCTTACTGCTTTTCAAGAATATATGTAGAAGACAAAAACAGCATGTTTTCTGGTTCCTTCTTGACTGAGAACTTTTGGTTAACTTGAAGTTTTCCTGTTTGTTTTTCTCACAGCTGTTCCCTCACATGTGTACAAGTGATAAAACAAATATCTCAGGAAGAAGAAAAAAAACATTTGATAGTATTACTCAGTGGTTCAATAACAGTAAACAGAGTGTGGTGTCCTCACTTCTGTCATTGGCTGCTTGACCTCGCTTAACCTTCTCATTCATTTCTGTTTCCTCATCAGAAAGTTAATTTCCAGGGATATTGGGAGACCCAGTGTCAGTGAGGGACACAGTGTGGTGTGGTGTTTGTTACCCATAGAGCCCAAGGATACAATCAAGAGTGGAAGACATTGGTTAGTTCTGGCACCAGCTCCCTAGATGGAGCCTGAGCATGTTGTTTAATTTCTGTAGATGTTCAGGACCAGCAGTTGGCATAATGGCTATGTTGCTGGACTCCCGTGTAGTCAACTGCTGTTTGAGTCCCGGACCTGGTGGCTTAAACTCACGCCAGGCACGTGTGTGTGCATGCCCAAGATCCCAAGAGGAGAATGGAGGAGAAGGGATTGTAGTGTGGCCATCCCCCCTGGGGGGTAATTTCTCTCTGTCTGTCTCTCTGTCTGTCTCTGTCTTTCTGGCGAATGAATGCTCCCTATAGCAAAAACGTCTCAAAAATTTTTTTCTGTGGGTGTTCATTTCCTAGGTATTTATTCCTCTGCTAACCAATTAGATAATTGAATTAAAGACCCTTTTTTTTTTATCTCTAGAGCTCTACAGTGGTGGGAAATGAGGATTTTAATAATTATAATATGAGGGGACTTCAAAAAGTTTGTGGGTGAATGGAATTAAAGTACAAATTTATTTTGGCACAGAAGTTTTTGAAACCCATGCAAGTTTTTTCATAGTATGTATTTCAGTGAACTTTTTTTTTTGAGAGGTTTTGCCATAGGGCGCGTGTGCTCGCTAGACAGACAGAGAGAGACAGAGAGACAGAAAGTGAGAAATCACCCCCCGGGGGTATGGCCACGCTGCAATCCCTTCTCCTCCATTCTCCTCTCGGGATCTTGGGCACGCACACACACGTGCCCAGCGTGAGTTTTAAGCCACCGGGTCCAGGACACGAACCGTGGTCGACTATGTGGGAGTCCAGCGACATAGCCATTACACTAACTGCTGGTCCCTATTTCAGTGAACTTTTTGAAGATCCCTACATAAGCAACAGTTACTGCCTGCCAGGTATTTTTCTAATTATGTTATTAACTCAAGTCCTCAAAATGGCCCTAGGAGGAACATACTCTTACTCTTCTTGCTCTATTGATGAGGAAACTGAGGCATTAGAGGTTAAACAACTTACTCAAGTACCCCCCAGCTTGTAAGGAAAAATAGAAGGCATCACCCAGGTGCTAGATGCCCCCTCAACCTCTACCACTTCTTTTTGTCTCTCCTCGTCTAAAAACCTCAGGTGCCCAGCACAAGTTTGAGTCCAGCACAACTTTTTGCCAATGAAAACTCACCCTGGGGTAGTTTGGTGACTCCTTGTCACTTACACTTTTTACAGTTCTCAAAATAAGCATGAAATGACAACCAGTTTTTTATGGAATATAATTTTCGTTCAGAGCAGTTCATCGTCATTATGTTTGACATATTACTCTGTCGATAGATGGCTTTTCAAAACCATCTCCTGGTAGACACATGGGAAAGAATACTGGAGCAGGAGGAATGAAGTAGCTCAGGGCTCCAGGCCTGCCTACCTCTTGAGGCAGGAATGTGAATTTCCCTGCTGGGCACAGAGCCGGCTTCCTATTTACTTAGAGGAACTGGGTACCCCAGGAGCCAAACGGAGGTTGTGATGCAACTTTTGGCTGCAGAACATGTTAGAGTTGCCCAGCATGTCTGATTAAAATGTGATCTGAAAGATTTCTCAAAGCGCTAGTTGATTTAAAGCACAACAGGATTAAATAGTCTTTTTTGGTGCTTTTAACTCAGCCCTAAGTAAACAAGAGGCTGGTGCAAGCAATGAGGAAGCTCGCCTTGCACTGGGATTACCAAGTGGGGGTTGAGTTCCCAAGGCAGGTCAATAGAGTGCAGGCAAGAGCTTGCTTCCTGTTCATGGCATCAATCAAGAGAAAGGTGACAGCAAGACAGTGGAAGCCAGGGAGGCCCCAGTTTTCTTATATGATCAGATATCTTACAGATTCCCAGGTGTGCAAATGTGTTCGTGTGTGTGTGTTGATTTGATTTTTTAAACAGAAAGAGACACATGGGAAAGAATACTGGAGCAGGAGGAATGAAGTGTAGTTAGAGCCCATGACTATGTATGAGGCATGTGGGAGGCACTTGGGACAGAAGTGAAGGAGACATGGTCCCTAGTGTCTTAGGACAAAGGGCAGGATTGAGGTATACTCCAAAGCTGCTGTGGGAACAGAGGACAGGGGCATTTCACCTGGCTTCAGGGTTTTGAGGAAGCCACTTAGGCCCTGAGGAGGATAGGATAAATCTAAATTAACTAGTTGGGAAAAAAAAGAAAAAGAAGGAAGAGGTTCTTTCCAAGGCCAAAGGCAGGAGTGAAGGTATTGTGGTATAGCTGGCATGGTGGGAGTTCCAGGTAGTTTCTTCTAAGTCTTTCTGACTATAAGGAATCAACTGAGAATTTTCTCTCAGGGTGTGCTTCTGCCATGGCAATAGCTGTTAAGCAAACAAAGATAGGAGTCTATTCATGACACATTAAAAATGCAAGCGAGCTGACCTTTTAGCCAATCTTTATAGTTCTAAGGGATTAAATGCATATATTCTTGGTAATTAGACCCCTAGGGAGAATTTAATTTGCATCTAGGTATGATAAGTGTTTAGTAATTCAATCCATGTTTTGCTCTGTTCAGTATTGAGCTGGATTTCAGGATACTGTTAATACAGGCTAGATATAGTGTGATATTATTAGCCTAATTTAAAAAAGATATTTATTTATTCTGAGAGAGAGAGAGAGAGAGAAAGAGAAATAAGCACGCAGGTAGGCATTCCCAATAAAGTTCTCAAGCCACGATCTACGCCTAGCCAGCCTGGATTATGGGCATACGTGTGTATGCCTGGTGTGTACAACTAATTCCCAGGACACAAACCAGGGACCTTCCCAAGTAGATCTAGTTGCACTACCACTACACCATCTCTGACCCCCTATTAGCCTAATTTTACCATCTGCTGACAAAGGAACACTAAAATCTGTTCTCTTTGTGGTTACTAAACGACTGCTTGACGTATTGTGGAAGAGAGCAGTGTAGTGTGGTGGCGTCTGTTCTTACATGATGACCCTCATCTAAAATTGTAAGAACCTGTCAGGAATATAGATTATGATACTGTCCCCATTGGGGTCATGACAAGGGTATAGTTTATCTCCTTGTTGCAGAAGTGAAACTTGAGACCTTTGTCAAAATGGGTGCTTTAGCAGTCTTCTTGAGCATTCTGCAATTTAAGAGGTAGAACATGCCTTAGCTTCTGTTTTCTACCTGTCCATCTTGGATAGGGTTGGACATCTTGCCATGCTTATTGGCTGTTTGCATTTGTATTTCCATGAATCACTGTTCACATGCTGTGCCCCAGTTTCACTGAATTGTTCATCCTTTTTCTTACTGGGTTCTACATATTGTAAATAGTAACCCCATTATGTGCTCCAAACCTCTTTCCCCCCAGCTTGTTTCCTTCAACTTTCTGTTTTTTTCTGTTTTGTCAGATAGAAGTTTAACTTTCTTAAAGTTGCAAATCTGTGAATCTTTTATGGCTCTATTCTCCTGTGTTCTTTATTTTTCTATAATTTCTTCCTTAACATGTATTTCTGAATATTTTAGAAATCTTCTATTTCTGACAGGCCTTTATTCCCAGATAATTCTCGTGTGATTTCTTAAAATTTATTTATATCAGTGATTAGTTTAAAAGCATATCGGGACTGTAAAATTTATTAATCATAAATATGTTTACATAAGAAAAATTCTATTATAATTTTGTGGGAGACATGATTTACTATCTTTAGATAGCATATAATTTTTAGAATCTTCAGATTAGGAGCTATTGTTTTAAAAATGTGAAGTTAAAAGGGAACATTGGGGGCCAACATGTGACGTGATGGTTAAGGCGCTGATCCCACATGGCCAACTCTGTGGTTTGAGTCCCATACCAGGTAGACCAAAAATCACTCTGGGCACATGTGGCCAAAATCCCAAGAGGAGAATGGAGGAGAAAGGACTGTGGCCTGGCCATCCCTGGGGGGTAATTTCTTACCTTCCCTTTCTTTCTGTCTCTCTCCTGTGGGCACACTTGCTCTGTGGTGAAAATATTTAAAAAAGGAACATTGAGGACCAGTTGGTGGGGCAGTGGCAGTAATGCAGCTGTATCCACGTGAGAAAGGCTCTGGGTTTGTATCCTGGGACTTCCTGAGCATGACAGATGTGCACCTGGCATGTACCACGGGCACTTCCCTCTTTCATCTTTTGAGGGAAGCAGAATTAAAGGAGAAGAATAGTGAGAATCCCTTTTTCATCAGCCAGTGGTTTCAGCTCATACGTAGGCCTGAAGTCCCAGACATCTAGTCACTAGACAGGGGCTCAGAGACCATGTTAATGTCACATCCTAGAGCCTCAGAACCCTGTGAAGCCTGTGGTTGGTGTTGGGGAGATTGGCCCAGAATAGACAGACATAACCAGGCAGTGTGTGTCTGAAGGGTTCACACAGGCATTACCTTAGACAGTAAAAATCTTAGGGTCTTTAGGAAGGAATGATACTTTTCTGGGGTGTTTTGGATCTTGAAGAAAGAAAAAATAATTTGGGGAGTATTTGATCTATCATACTTTCTATATATTAAGCGGCTAGATTCATCACACGTTTATCTTTTTTCCTTTCTTTTTATCTATAGCTACTCTCCAGAGAGACCGCATCTTCAAACATTTCACCAGGAAACGCCAAAGGGCTATGCGAAGGCGAGTCCACCAGATCAATGGACACAAGTTCATGGCCACATACCTGAGGCAGCCCACTTACTGCTCACACTGCAGGGAGTTTATCTGGTAAGAGGCTCCCTGGCTTCCGGCCTCCTCACAGCTTCTCTCTATAGCGGTTTCCTCCGGTTATGTTTATTATTCTTATTCCTCTGGTTGTTTTAGGAGAAAGCACTATTGTTATATATCATTTTAGGATCTGATTTTTACCTCTTATTCTCAATGTTGACCTAGTAATTTTCATCTCCATTGCAAAACATAACCAAAAAACTAAATATTTACAGATTCGAGTTTTAGATATTACACCTTAAATATTTCTTTTCTGAATTCACTGGGACCAACACATTTAAAACATTTTAAAATTTATGATTGTTTTTTGATTCTGGGATATTTGCATATATACATATAAAATAAGATGTGATGTCTTTGGGGTGGGAACTCACGTCTTAACACAAAATTCATTTCTGTTTTATATACATTCTGTACACATGACCCGAAGGCAATTTCATACAACATTTTTTGTATTGCATTGTTTTGACTGTGACCGATCACGTGCGGTCAGGTGTAGAACCTTCCACTTATAGCATCATAGAGATGCTAAAAAATGTTTGGATTTTTGGAGCATTTCAGATTTTTGGATTAGGGATACTTAATCTGCATTTCTCTTTCTCTCTCTCTCTCTCTCTTTTTTTTTTTTGGTAAAAGTACAAATGACTCATGAACAGGTCAAAAAGCATAAATCAGAGAGAGATGCTAATCAGTAAATAGATAATCAGCCCCTGAGCAATAAAGAAAAATCAAAAGGATTACTTTTAAGAAGGCATGAATCATGCAAGGAGTTATGGAAATTAGTTGTTGCAAGAAAACTAAGCGCACAGTAGTCTGCATCCCCGTGGTGTGCAAACTGAAGGTAATCACCTTCAGTGATCATATACTGTAATCTAATCCCTGGCAATTAGGAACCAAGAGCATTAAAAGTTGAGAAATCTTCGAGATCTAGGGCACTCTCACCGTACGTTCAACTGAAGCTTAAATTTCAGTGGGAAATCTATAATGTAAAAGAAAACAAGAAATGACAGTAATAATTATCTTTAGAGTCAACAGTATTGGGAAAGAAAAGAAGAAAATATGCCCTCACATGTCTGCGTGTGTAGATACACACTCCCTTCTCAAAATGAGAAAACACGGTGTGGTCACATGAAAGGGATCCTTGTTTTTGTTATAAACTTTAATCATTTTGTTTAACGAAACAGAAGCACTTGGTTCCCTCTTATTTCTGAATATTGATCTGTTACTTTCGGCTTTGTTTTCTGTGATTACTTTGGATCCGAAATCTTTTAGCAGTCAGAGTCCAGGGTCAGTGTTTCTGGCATTTTGAATGTAGGCTAGAGTTCTGAAGCCCAGTGTTGGCTGCGGATATGAAGCCTACAATTGTGTCTTAACATTCGTAGTCTTTAGGAAGAAATTTCTGACCTTTGCTTCTGAGAATTGAGCAGCACCAGCCTCTCAGAGCCCATGCTCCCTCTTGCAGCACTCTAGTTAGCCACAGTCCCACCCCTCGCAGCGGTTTGTCAACTTGAAGAGTATCTGCTCATTGCTGGTTGTTTCCGGTCACACTGTTCTGGCTCTCCTCCTGTGTGCCCTGCCTGGCTCCCCTCTGTGGCACAGCTCTGACCTCAGCTGACATTCGTAATGGAAACTTATTTGATAATTTCACTTGATTTTTCCATCAAGAAAACATTAAGTCCCCCCCCCCCCCCCCCCCCCCCACCCCCCAAAACACCCCCAGCAAGCACAGCCTATAAGTCTGTTTCTCTCACACACACACAGACACACACACCCACTCACACTCTCACTGCAAATATTGTGTTTGTATTTTATATACATGGTTAAGACTGTGGACTCTGGTGTTCAATCTTATCACCAAGTAAATGTGTCAAGTTATATAACCAATCAGTACCTCCCCATTTGTGAATAGAGATACCCGCTTAATTTTGCTTACATATTAAACTTTTTGAGTCAAGCAGTGGTGCAGTGGTTAGTGCACCTAGACTCAGGTGAGAAAAGCCCTGAGTTTATGTTTCAGGACTCCCTGGGGCACTTGGGAGTGTCCAGACCAGCTGAGACTGGGAGTGGACTGAGGCACAGGACCTTTGGGGCACCTGCCTCTGTCTTTCTCCTAAAATAAATGAATAAGTAAACTAAGAAACAAACAAACAAACAAAAGCCCTAGTATATAGTAAACTTTGTTTATAGTATACTTAAAGTGCTCTGTCCTAAGCACTTTATGTCATTAATTCTTACTCTCTTTGTGATAAACCTATGAAGTAGGTTCTATCATTGTTATTCCCTTTTATAGCAATGGCTCAAAAAAGTTAACTATCTGCCCCAAATCACCCCATCAGGCCACCTGGTTCAGAGACTGTGCTTTTTTTATTTTAAAGATTTTTGCCATAGGGTATGTGCACTCTCCCGAGAAAAGCAGAAACAGTGAAAGGGAAAGTGAGAAATTATCCCCCAGAGGGGATGGCCATGCCTCAGTCTGTTCTCCTTCATTGTCCTCCTGAGATTTTGGGCATGCATGCACTCATGCCCAGTGTGACTTTTAAGCCAGTCAGGGACTCAAACTGCTGTCAGCCCTATGGAGACCATAAGTACTACGCCACCTGCTGGCCCCAGAGTCTGTGTTTTTAATCGTTTTAGGTGTGCTTCCTTGTCTGTTTTTTGTGAGAAATAGATGAAGGAGCGTATATCAGCTGCTTGGCCCAGTGCCTGGCACATTCTCCGGGCTTAGTAAATTATAGTCTTTGTTAATGAGACTAAAAATATCGCCTCCATCCATTGAATAAATTAGGGGAGACAAGACTGAAGCTGGAGATACTAAGGGCATCTTGGGAAAACACCTCGCTCCTGTAGACTCCCAGGGATGATATGAGCAAAGGAGGGAAGGGGGCAGATGCCTGATCGGACAGCTGCAGTGGACTTATCCATGTACCGCCACACATGTGCCTGTTCCTTTCTACTTCAGAATCTGTACTTTTTTCTGTGTATGTGAGAGAGAATAAGGTGGTGGAGTCACTTTTCAGGCTGAGGCTCCATCACACATACAGATGAGGGTGTCTTTTAATTGAGGACTTAAGGTAGGTGGAATGGGAATTGTAGTTACCCAGCCATTGCTGTCATCTGGCCTTCTAACCCTTCAGATAAGTGTCTCATTAACAAAAAGCACTCAAAAAGCACATCATTTTTGCTTCTTCCCTGAAATTGTGTTTTTCATGAAGGACTGGGAGATGAAATCTGTTTTCTTTAAGGAGGGTTATTGGTGAAATATGTGACGGTTGGTAATTTTTTTCTCTATTGTCCTTAACAGGGGAGTATTTGGGAAACAGGGTTACCAATGCCAAGGTAAGAAAACATTTTTAAAACTTTAAGTTTTCTATGTTAAAAACTGATTATACCAAGAGAGAATAAAATACAATCCCATTACTATTGTCAAAAAATAACTCTGTGGGTCAAAGGGACCCATATATTTATAACTTTTTGGTTATATCTTGACTATATATTAGATAGTATATAGAGAATGTTTTTATTTCTGAAACCAGGATGCCTAATGAAGTTTAATTGTTTCAAGTTTTGTCTCTGCAATAACATGAATATACTAAAATGTAATGACATTTTGTGAACGTACCCCTACATCCTGAAGATAAATTTCTGCTTTTTTGTTTTGTTTTGGTTTTGGTTTTTAACTTTTGCTATAGGGCATGTGTGCTTGCGGGCAAGGGACAGCAGAGAGAGAAAGAGAGAGAGAGCAAACAAGTGAGCGCAAAAGAGAGGGAACGTGAGAAGTCACCCCAGGGGGATGGCCACACTGTAAACCCCTCTCCATTCTCCTCTTGGAATTTTGGGCATGCATGCACATGTGCCTAGTGTGTTTTACAAGCCATCGGGTCCAGGACTTGAACCACAAAGTTGGCCATGTGGGAACCAACACTTTAACCACTATACCACTGGCTGGTCCCAAATTTCTATTTTTGACAATTTCATTGTCAATATTGGTGAAAAGTAGCAGTGCCTTTTTTCTATTTAGGAAATAGAAGCTAATCTTTAAGTTTTTTTCTTTTATTATTTTTTTTGATTTTCAAAAAAATGGGAGAAGTGTTCAAAGATAATGATTTTTTTCAATTGTTATGCATTATTGATATTTGATTTTCCAAATCCTGAGATAACTTACTAATGCTCTGGTAGAATTAGAATGTAATAAAATGGGAGGAATGAAGAAGGCCCTTCCTTGGGTGGTTTAGCCAAGCTGGTTGGGGCCTGCCTTTTGTTTGGGGCCTCTTATTTTTGGCTTGTACATCATTGCATTGTTTATACATATGGAACCCATCCTCTGGATTTTCACACTAGATCATCGACAAAGTAGCATTCCATATCTGAGAGTGTTAGTCTGCATGCAAATAAGGAAATATCCTGACTTCTTTTCTGGAGGAGACAGGGTGAAACATCATTTCTTTTAAAAGAACTGAATAAGACACATTCTTGGATCTAATTTTGACTTTAATAGGTATGAATAAGTCTATGGAGTTGTCCAATTTTACAAATAAATATATAGTCAATATGATAGCAATAATTGACCAATATACCATTCATCTCAGTCCCATATAAGAAAATATAGTTCACAAATCAGAACTGTTGTTAGTTTTGGGCCTGGGCCTTTACTGTACATGGATATGCCCCATGGTCCACTCTGGTTCTGCACCTTCCAAATTAGGTTGAGAACTCTCTATGGACAGGATTATAGTTTTGAGTTTAAAGTACGTGATTTATCATGTTGTTGTTGTTATTTTATTTTCACCTTTGCCTAGAATGCCAGCATATTTGATATTGGTCAGGAGGCATGAAGACACCACTTTGTTGGTATTTTACGAAGGACTGTAAAACCAAGTGAATAGTTGCTAATGCTGATCAAAAACAAACTAGAGTAGATATTTCAGTTAAAGCAGATTTCAGAGCAAGAAGAAGCATCAGGGATATAAAGGGCAATAATGGGACCAGCAGTTAGCGTAATGGCTATGTTGCTGGACTCCCATGTAGTCGAACGCAGTTTGAGTCCCAGACCCGGTGGCTTAAACTCATGCTGGGCGCATGTGCGTGCATGCCCAAGATCCTGAGAGGAGAAAAGGGAGGAGAAGGGATTGCGGCGTGGCCATCCCCCCTGGGGGGGTGTGATTTCTCGCTTTCTGTCTCTCTGTCTCTCTCTGTCTCTCTGGTGAGCGCACGCGCCCTATAGCAAAAACCTCTCTTAAAAAAAAAAAGGGCAGTAATAAAGAGGTCAGCTCTCTAAGAAGATATAACCATCTTTAACATGTGTGTGTGTGTGTGTGTGTGTGTGCACGCCCCAAATCCTGAGAAGGCAGTGTAGGAGAAGGGATTGCGCTGTGGCCATCCCCTCTGTGGGTGATTGCTCACTTTCCTGCCCCCGTCTCTGTGTCTTTTTCTATCTCTCTGCAAGTGCATATGCACTATGGTAAAAATCTAAAGAAAAAAAAAGGATGAAAACAAGAAAGAAAAATATAAAAAAGATCTAAGATAAATTATTAAAGATTTCATTTTGGGAAGCTAGAGAAAGAAGAAAAACTTAAGCCTAAAGAAAGCAAAAGAAAAAAAAATAAATTAGAGCAGAAATCAGTGAAGTTGAAAACTGTAGAACAATAGAGAAAATCCATTAGACAAAAAGCTCTTTCTGTGTAACTATCAATCAGATTGATAAATCTCTGTCCAAGTTAACTATGAGAAAACCAGCATAAGGTCTTTTGGGTGAAGGATGGTTTTAAGAATCCCTCATTTGAAAAGACCAGTTCTCTGGGCACTTCCAATTTGGTTCTCCTGAAAATTTAATCTGATGAAAGCTGGGTTTGTTTTAAGATAGAGCACTGTTTATTGACATGTCACCTGCCTTTCTGTATTTAATCTAAAACTTTCCATATGTCTTGAAAGTTCTTAAAATGATGTATATTTTTGTACCGCATCATTGCATATGTTGATCCTTTAATGACAAGCTCAACTCCATCTGTACTATGTCAGTTGTCTAGATGAAAATGAAAAGAAAACATTATTCAGAAAGTCAGAAAGTTCTAAGTATTCAAACAATTAATTAAGTCATTTGGCAACTATGTATTGAATGTCTATTCTGCTCAAGGCATCATTTGGAAATTCTGAGGGCATTATGAGGCTGTGTGTGGAAGGTTTGAAGTGAAGAGCCCGGCTAAGGAGTGTGGGAGGTCAGAGGGAGAGATGATTTTAATCTATTGTAGAAGTGGGGAAGAGGGTCATGTTATTTCCATAGAAGAGATATGTTTGGAATTGTAAACTTCCAGCTTAGTTGATAGGCAAAGAGGATGTCTTGGGGTTAGGGAATGGCATTGACAGTGTGTCAGAGAGGCTTGTTCCAGGAGGAGCAACTATGAATAGTTCATTTTTATTGGAATACATAGGATCTGAGGAAGAAAGATAAATGGTTGGGGGTAGCCGCTGGATGGCTTGATACCTGGTTGGGAAATTTGAAATCTGTGGATTGACAGTGAGAAGTCATTGGATGGTTTTCAGTCATGGGGAACAGAAGACCAGAATCGTGTTGTAGAAAGAGTCCCTGGTGGTCCATGCAGGGTAAAATAAAATTAGGATTTCCATACTCTTAGAGCACGATGATGGATAGTTTGATCATGCATAAAGGTCTGTGTTAGGATGAGGACAAAGGACATTGGAAGGATGAGAGCCCTGGCTGCCATCATGTGGACCAGCCATTCAAGTCACATCGCATTGGTATGGTATAGCCCTTATGGACTCTGCTGATATAAGCTGGACTGTGAGCCTCTGATAAATGCATAATTGCTGAATTTAATTTCCTAGTGTGCACCTGCGTCGTCCATAAGCGCTGCCATCATCTAATTGTTACAGCCTGTACTTGCCAAAACAATATTAACAAAGTGGATTCAAAGGTAAGAGGATAGCAGATTGCTGATTAAGCACTGGCTCTTGTTTATGTGTGTGAGTGTGTGTGTGTGTGTGTGTGCATGTGTGTGCATGCGCATGTATGCACACATAACCCACCCCCTCTCTCCCTCTCTACCTGTCTCCTTTTCTTTTCCCCAACTTCTCTTTCCTCACCACCTTCAACTTCTCTCCTATATTCTTTAAAGCATATAGTGATATTAGAATAGAAATTTCTCTCCTTTTTTTGTGTTACAGCATTTATATTTTTGTGCTTGTATAGCATGACTTGTCCTTGTGAGGACCCTATTAGTGGTCAGCTGGGGACAAGCTATATGGAACAGTTCTACTAATTCAGAGAGAGCTTTGGTGGAATGAAAGGGGCCCTGAGCTTGGCATTTGATGACCTGGATTTAAACATAGGATCCAGCCTCTCTTAGCTATCTTCTTTGTGAGCTCAGGCAAGGCCTGTACCTCTCTTTGTCTCAATATTAAAACAGAACCAGTACTTCCCTCATGCTGTTTTCTTGAGGGTAAGCAAGACAGGATTGATGTGACAAGTATGCTATTAACTATAAATTGTGCTTCCTAAGAGACCGTGGGCCTCCTCCAGCCACTTTAGACATTTCGGGGAAGGAGGATGAATATCTGTATGTAAAAGCTAGAGCTTCATTCTTATCCATCTCATTGCACTTAGCTGAAATAGGGGCCCTTTTCAAATCTGGAGGTAGAAGGTAGCTAGAGCATTGTTGACAATTATCAGTGGCTCTGCAGATTCAGTATGAGGTCTGCTTCGGGAGCTCAGTGGTCTTTATAGCAGATATATAGGATTGTAAAGGAGTATACATAGGAGTATGAGTCATAGCTTTTATGAGAAAAAGACCACAAAAGCATCAAGAGGAGTAATAATTGCCCTACTCCTTATCACGTATTTTATCTATTGTTATTGCTTTAAATTGGAATGTAAACTACAGAGCATATGCCTTGTGTAATTAATTGCTGAAAACAGTATGTGAGATTAAACCAGGACCTTTGAGCTCAGATGGTCAGAATACAAATGCCAGGCAAAAACTGGACTTGCTGAATAAGATACCAATTTAAACATAAATTCCTTCTGTGGTTCATTGTCCTCTGGTGCTTTCTTCTTTTGTTTCCCTGTGACATGATTTCTTAAAGAATTTGTGGTAACAGCAAGTACATATAGTTTATAAAAGACTCATTTAATCCTGATGTCAAAATGCTCTAGAAAATAGACATGGTGTGAGGGGGTTGTAAAGGAGAGAAATACAGCCTGAATATGAAAGATGAAACAAAAATCTTAATTTATATTTATCTTCCCAAATGATGAAAGATCTAAAACACATTCCATGTTTCTGTCTTTTTTATTTGAAAAGTCTGTGTCTGGCTAGTAGGACCTGAGTAATTAATTGGAGCTCAGTGTGGTAAAATAATATACCCAGCTCAGGTGTCACAGTAACACTTTGCCTTTGGTGGGCTCCTATTACAATTTTTACAAAAGATGTAGCTGTGAAATTTTAGCTCTTGTCCTCTTATTTCCTTTTTACAGATTGCTGAACAGAGGTTTGGAATCAACATCCCACACAAGTTTAGCATTCACAACTACAAAGTGCCAACCTTCTGTGATCACTGTGGCTCTCTGCTCTGGGGGATAATGAGACAAGGACTTCAGTGTAAAAGTGAGATGCTAGGGTACTGGGTAGCCGTTTCTTCATGGGAACATTATGTCATAAGCTATCAGAATTCTACAGAGTCAGAATCTGACCTAGGACTGATGGTTTTAGATGCGCTATAAATTAACATCTTAGTAGTTGTGCGTTTTTGTGTCTCTTGTCAGGTATTGCAAAGAGAATTACATGTGCTCCCCAAATTTACTAATCTAATCATGAAACATTAAGTCAAATGTGAAATTCAATAATATAGCAAAAGTAACTATTATCTATTATCTATTGCTGAGTACAGACTAGAGATTGTGTGTGTGTGTGTATGTATATATATATATATATATACACATATATATATACATATTTTGGAGAGGTTTTTGCTATAGGGTTCGTGCACTTTCAGAAAGACAGAGAGAGACAGAAAGTGAGAAATCCCTCCCCCGGAGGGATGGCCGTGCTGCAGTCCCTTCTCCTCCATTCTCCTCTTGGAATCTTGGGCACACATGCACACGTCCCCGGCCTGAGTTTAACCTACCGGGTCCGGGACTCAAAGTACAGTCAACTACATGGGGAGTCCAGCGACATAGCCATTACAACAACTGCTGGTCCTGAGATTGTATATTTTAATAGTTATTTGAAAGAGGAAAAGATAGGATCTTGGTCAGAAATGGAAGATGGTAGGAGATGAGATGACTAAAGATGTTGGTTTATGAATAAGAACTGGTGAAAGAGTAGGTCTGATAACTTCTTAGAAATAAACAGAAATTGATTTGCCAAACCATAATGAGAGCTGCTCAGGGTCTTCTGAAAGAGTGCCCTGAGAGATTCGAGGAGGAGCAGGAGAGAAAGACTCTTAAGCTTCAGTTGCGGGATTGCATTCACTCACTACATCTAGTGGAGTCAGAGTTTGGAGATTTTGCATCAGGAAAGGCTCTCAGGTGGGTGAGGGCTGGTCTCTCTCCTATTAGGAGTTGGGGAACTGTTGGCCTTAGTAATCTCTCATTGAGATGTAACGATCTGGCTGTCACAGAGTGCACCTGAAGCTTTATCAGACACATCTGGAGTCATGAAGTAGAGTTGGCCTGAGCACAACCCGACAACTTCTGTTGAGAGCTTTGACTGACCGAGCTTGCTTCTGTCAACAAAGAGGGGCCAGTCCCAGCTGGCAGTAGTAGTACACACCACAGGCTGTTGCTTGGCAGGTTGAGGCCCTGACAGAGGGGCCCAGATTTGATTCTCAGCCCACCCTAAAAAGCTGAATGTAGTACATGCCTGTGGTCCTAGCTACTCAGAAGGTTGTGGCAGGAGGAATATTTAATGGTGACACCTTGCCTTGAAGGAAAAAGGAAAGAGGGGCCGGCAGGTGGAGTGATGGTTAAGGGCTCTGAACTCCCCCATTATTAACCACAGTTTGAGTCCCGGACCTGGCAACTTGCTTTCTCACCCCTGCCCCCAACTCTGTCCCTCTCTGGTCAAATTAAAATAAATAAATAAATAAAGTTAAATAAAATAATTAGAAAAAAAAAAACAGGAAAGAAAGAGCAACTCACACACCAACAAAGAAAGCAGTCTTTTGTCTTCTGTGTTTCTTGAACACCATTTATGAGTTTTTATACATCCCAAACAGCAGTAAGGACATGTATGACTTCTAGGACTTTGGTTCAGGTGCTGCTTGATGGGCTCACCTGGGTATGGGTTCCCCAGGTACACATCACTTTCTCCTCTCTCGTGGTTGGTGCAGGGCCACGTGTAGGGCTCACCTGCACTCTTCTTGTCTCTGGTGGTCAGACGGTAGCATACCCACAGTGATCTGGCTCCTGTAATTGCTTTCATGTCACGTGATGGTTATGAAAGGCCACTGTAGGCTTGTTTATCTCCATACCAATCTTACTGAGAGAGGTAAATTTCCCATGAAGCTAACGAAATTTAAGCCTCAGGGCTTCTCTTTCACAAGGGTACCTTCCAAAGCTCTCCACTTGATTTGATTTTTTTTTTTAAGTTTATTTATTTCTTCCATGAGCAAGTAAGAAAGGTGGCAGGAGAAAGAGACAGACAGAGGGACAGTGCTCCCAAAAGTATCTTCATGCCTCAGCCTCAGCCATCCCTGGATAATGAGCACCCATGTGTCTGGTGTGTTCAGGGAGAGGTGTGGGAGCAAACCTAGGACCTTCCCACGTGGGTCAGTCTCTCAGAGCATTGCATTACCTCTGCACGACTGTCCAGTTCCAGTATTTTTCTCAAAGAAGACCTTTTAAATTACATTCAGGCCGCACAAAACTTGGATCTGTGAGTGCTTTCAAAGATGGACTGACTCCTTGAACAGATTTGTTGCTTGCTGCTTTGGTTCTGTCTCCTACTAGCAGGGTCCACGTCAAGAAATCATATCAGGGGACCAGCAGTTAGCGTAATGGCTATGCTGCTGGACTCCCATGTAGTCGACTGTGGTTTGAGTCCCAGACCCGGTGGCTTAAACTCACGCTGGGCGTGTGTGCGTGCGTGCCCAAGATCCCAAGAAGAGAATGGAGGAGAAGGGATTGCGGCGTGGCCATCCCCCCTGGGGGTGATTTCTCGCTTTCTGTCTCTCTTTCTCTGTCTTTCTGGTGAGCACACGTGCCCTGTAGCAAAAACCTCTCCAAAATAAATAAATAGATAGATAGATAGATAGATAGATAGATGAAACCATATCAGATTTTTTTTCTCTGATGAAACCTCAAATCCTTCATCATCTCAAATTATCTTCCCGCATACCAGGAACTTAGCTTGCCTGGGTCGCCTCTTCCTTTGACCTTAAAAAAGTTTGCTCTAACCTTCAAAAAGTGTTAGTAGTTGTTGCCTCCCCCCTCACCCGCTCCGCTCACCGAAGCAGTTAGAACCACAGGCTGAGAACAAACACTGAGAACCACAGCCCCACCGGATGCTGCGAGGGCCAGCCAACCCCAACAATACCCAGAAAGCTCCCGGTAGGGGTTGTTCTCACAGAAACCTTGTTTCCATTCTGTCTGCACAGAGATCTATATATGTGGCATTTCGACTGCTACCTTTTATTGCCTTGTGGAGAGATAGAAGGCAAAGCCTTGTCAGTTGACATGCTTCTTTGTTATTTAATTGGCTGTGAATTGTCGCTATGATGAAGGTTTTACTTTTCACAGCAGATTATGCTGTTAAGTCAGCAGTGATTGTTACATGTGGGTTAGACAAAGGTGTTTCATCAAATCCTAAAGAGAAAAACGTATTTGAAATCTATTATTCTTTAGGATGCCAGGGGTTTTGCTTCTGTACAAAACAGAAATAGCTAGAATGTCAAGAATCGTTAGTGCGAGTTTAATTTTATGAGAAGATGACATTGTTCAGTTTGTGTCACCCCTTTGTCATACTCTCTCAGGTTATTCAGCATCTCGGTTGCAGCACACACTGACTTGGTTCCTTTCTATTTTCTTCTTCCCTCTAGTATGTAAAATGAATGTGCACATTCGATGTCAAGCGAACGTGGCCCCTAACTGTGGGGTGAATGCAGTGGAGCTGGCCAAGACCCTGGCAGGAATGGGTCTCCAACCTGGAAATATTTCTCCAACCTCGGTGAGACTTCCTTTCCTCATGTGTTGTCATTTAGAAGTTGTTCAGACGTGGGGAGTTGGAATAGGAGTAGGTGCCGTCAGCAAAGTTCTTCATCTCAGCAAATACAATCAGCAGATTTATTGCATTTTAAAAGAGTGTGCTGTCCCACAAATTAGATTCTATGTCTAGTGGTATGATGAGAAATTATGAACACACAGATATAGCAGGCAGCAGGAGAAAGGTGGCTCATGCTTATGGTTGGAGACCAGACAGGACGGTTGGCCAATATGTATGGGCTTCAAGGTCCTCATGTCCAAAAAGGTTGAACTTGGACATCTCTGAGGTCCAACATAGCCCTGAAATTCAACAGTTTGCAGTTCTTGTTATGGATGGTGAATTTCTCTCTCATTCAGCCACCCGCAAGAGTTCTGTCCTCCGGCCTCCGGGAAGTGAGTGAAGTTGTGTTGATTGCTGTGGACATGCAATCTCCGCAAGTGCCCTCCACCTACTGTCACCTGTTAGAGCCTTGGTCACTTCCCAGGCCCAGGTCTTACGGCTACCTACCTGGCCAGGGTCTGCAGAAAATAGCCTGGGAAATAGCCAGGACTATGGCTGTGAGATTGAAATGTGTAGATTGAAAATTTCAGACTTAACCTCTAAAGACTCTCCAGATACTTAGGAAGGGAAGTGCAATCACTTTGAGGTTCTGAGTAATCTAGAAAATGTCAGCACTAACCACCCCATTTTCTTTTTACTGAAAGGCTTCTCTTTAGTGGATAGGGGTGTTGTATTGACAGTGTGTTTCTTGATTTCAAGGAGGCACTGGAAATGCCCATCAAGTCTGTCTTGTGGGCAGACAGGCAAGATGCAGACATGGTGAGAGGGGTTTCTAATGTATGAGGCAGCTGTTCTCAAAAAGTAGAGATTACAGATTTCAGCTTCAGCCAAGGCTTGTAAAATACAGTGGGATAAGTTAGGCCATATGACAAAATTTCTAGCAATGGGCGGTGACACTTGTCATCTGAACAAGTATCTTTAACATGATGATATTTAATAGTGAGAAAGCAAAACTTATCAAAAGAAAAGCTTTTTTTTTTTTTTCCAAAAGATAGAGAAACGGTAGCTTAAAGTTGTCTACCCAGTGCAAACCTGACTAGTGGAAGTATTTAAGTGAAGGAAGTGAAATTCAATCAGGCACAACTTTTCTTTTTCTTTTTTTCTTTCTTTTTAAAAATTTGCTATAGGGACCATGCGTGAGAGAAAGAGAGAGAGAATGAATATGCATGAATGAATGAATGAATGAGAAAGCACCCCCTGGGGGGGCATTTGGCCATGCTATCCTCTTTTCTCCATTCTCCTTTCGGGATTTTTGGGTATACACACATGCATGCAGCTGTCATGTTTTTTAAACTGCAGGGTCCAGGACTTAAACTAAGCAATTGGCCATGTAGGATCCAGCTACCTTAACCACCATGCCACCAGCTGGCCCATGTGTGTACAGTTTCTACTAAGCTAAATGGTCAAAAGCTCTAGGATATTTTATTGTTATCTAGTGGCAGTTTACCTTATAAATGTCTCAAGGTGGGCATCGGCAGAAGTCACTTGCCTTTGGGAAATCTCTTCCCTGTGAAGGGCAGGCACATTCACCCTGGGATAGAACTGGAGAGTATACCGAAGTGCCATATTTATGTAGTTCAGAGTGGTGAAACTGGAACTCTCATTACTCTAGTGAGAGTGTAAATTGGTCAGTCTTTATCGAAGGCAAATTGGCCCTGTACCAAATGTCTTCAAAATGAACACTTTGGCCCAAGGAATTTCATTTTCAGGAAGTTGTCTTGGGAAAATAGATGGTGATGATAATGACCACACAGCTTCAGCTTGTTAAATATGCCAGACACCGAGCTAAGTGCCCCAGAGCCTTCATTCATTCACTCATAAGTCATGTATCAGATGCTTTTACCTCCTCTTTTTTGGAAGAGGAAACTGAGGCAGGGTGAAACCGGGTAGGAACATTGCTCAAAGTCACAGGTTAGCTTGCATAGCTGTTGTTCGAACCCAAGCAGCCAGCTTCAGGGTCTGGGCTGTTAATCCCACTGTTTTGAATATTTGCATGTAAGTTTGTTCACTGTGGTGTTATTATGGTTGAAAAATAGAAGATGACCTGTATTTTTAATAGCAGGGGGATTAGTAAGTAAATGATCATATAGCCATAAAATGGAATATTAAACAGCCCTTTTTTTTTTTTTTTTTTTTTTTTTTGAGAGAGAAGTTTTCGCTATAGGGTGTGTGTGCTTGCCAGGCAGAGAGAGAGACAGAAAGCAGGAAATCACCCCCTGGGGGGATGGCCACGTTGCAATCCCTTCTCCTCCATTCTCCTCTCAGGATCTTGGGCACGCACGCACACACACCCATCGTGAGTTTTAAGCCACCGGGTCTGGGATGCAAACTGCGGTCAACTACATGGGAGTCCAGTGACATAGCCATTACACTAACTGCTGGTCCCTGGAATATTGAATAGCTCTTGATGCTTATGTTCTTAAAGGATATTTAAAGATATGGAAACTACATGAGACAAGTTTTTAAATAAAAATGTGTATTATGAAACAATAATTGACCTACATTAAAAAAAATTAACCAAGCATAAAAACATGTATGTTATGTGTTTAAATATTTTTTTTTGAGTGGAACTGGTGAGATTTTTGGAATTTAAGAGTTTATCCTGAATAATTTTGTGATTGTTCTAGTATTTACACAGGAATCTTTTTCCCTTGTATAATTTAAAATATTGTCTAAAAGCATTCATTTCTCATTCATGTCCCGGTACTGAATAGTACTTGATTTTCTGAGCAAATGTGGAAGCCGCTCTTTGTAAGAAGTGGACACTAGGTGGTGCTCTTGGACCCTCACAGCCTTGAGAAAGCCATCACCAAAGGAATTAGGGGACCAGACTAAGGCATTTGTGTTTTCATACACTTCCTCTTTAGTGCAAAATGTGACTCCATTGCCTAGAGGTATTTTAAGATGATTTTTCCCATAGGGCAATAATCACAGGCCAGACCCTAAATACTGAAATAGTGAGTTGCAGAGCTCAGTCATCTGCCAAGCTGAATCCATCTTTTCCCACATGTTGTCTGAAGGATGAAGACTGCTCCCAGCTAGGGAGGTCTTCTCCACCCCTAGGTGCTTTGCATTCACACTGCGACTCATGACTCAATGTATTCCTGCTCTTTGCAGAAACTCGTTTCCAGATCAACCCTAAGACGACAAGGAAAGGAGAGCACCAAAGAAGGAAATGGGGTCGGAGTGAATTCTTCCAGCCGACTTGGTATCGACAACTTTGAGTTTATCCGAGTGTTGGGGAAGGGGAGTTTTGGGAAGGTGAGTTGACATTAACTGTTTGGGTTGAAGTAAGCATGCTATGGGTATATTGTGTGTGTGTGTGTGTGTGTGTGTGTGTGTGTGTGTGTGTGTGTGTGTGTGTGTGTGTGTGTGTGTGTGTATGTGTACACACTCACATTTCTCAGATGCCATTTTCATTCTTTCCCTCGTGTCCCCACACCTGAAGAACTCAAGAGGACTCCCTCACATTCCCTTCTTTCACTTTGCTGCAGGTGATGCTCGCAAGAATAAAAGACACAGGAGACCTCTATGCTGTGAAGGTGCTGAAGAAGGACGTGATCCTGCAGGACGATGATGTGGAGTGCACGATGACCGAGAAGAGGATCCTGTCCTTGGCCCGCAATCACCCCTTCCTCACTCAGTTGTTCTGCTGCTTTCAGACTCCTGTAAGTATAACTCAAAATCACTGCATCAACAGTCTCCTTTTTTTAAACAAGCTGAAACAATAAGATTTTATAAAGATGAGTCTTAGAAACTTTTTTGCATGGGCAGTCCTGGTAGGGCCTTATAGATATACTGGTCCTTCTCATGACCTCTGGGGAAAAAAAAGAAGTTAATGAACTTCCCCCTTCTCTCACCATGAAGGATACCCCTTTATGCTATCCTGGGGAAGGATCACTTTGATGATTGTGTGGCCTAAGATTAAAAAGGTCTTTTATACATTAGTCTTTTAGAGCAAAGTGAAGGTTACTCATGTCTAAGAATAGATTGAATGTGAATTTGACCATGAATCTGCTCCTCAGTTTGGGACTGGTTCTTGCCTGGGCATCAGAGTGCAATAGAGGAGTCTGAGAGGACCCACAGAGGGTACCTTGATTTGGAGTCCAGAGGCATTGCTCCTGGCTTCAAAGACCCTTTGCTCAAAGTCACAGGTTAAATTTGCTCAAAATTTAGCATGGACTAATTTTAGGATTTGAACCTGTCTGCCCTATAAGAGTGTGTGGTTAGGAATGCTTTGGGCTGCAGTTAACAGAACATCCAACCAATAGTGCTTTAAATAACAAACAGAAAGGATAGATATAGTTTATTACAATTTTTTCTTGTTTTTATGTAACAAGAAATCTGACGGTAACAGATTGGTTACTCAGTGGATTTGGATTTGTTACTCAGTGGCATTGGCCACATCTTCCCTTGGGGACCTCAAGGTGTTTGCTTCAGGCTTTGACATCACACCTCCACATGGCTATATCCAAAGCAGGAAGCAGAGGGCAGAGGAAGAAGGGCTGTATGAGCCACTGTCTTTCATCAGGGAGAGGAGACCTTTCTTAGCTGCAAGGAAAGCTAAAAGAGAAAATATCTAGCCAAGGGGAATCTTGACTCAAATACTGGAGCAGAGCACTGCTGCCCATTTGGAATTGGGTTTCCGTTATCACTGAGGAGGAAAAATGGCTCCTAAGAAGGTGCCAAGAGGGTCTACCACAGATGTGTCACAATCTTCTTTCTGCCAGAAGACCTGAGAGAGTGAATTCTAGGCATGCCTGTCCCAGTGGACATGGCCAGTGCATGCTTCAGCGTCTGGACTGTGACTCACACTGTTTTGAATATTTTTGTGCAGATTTTCCTGCATTCCTATCAGAGAAGTAGAGGATGGGAGTAGGTTAGGGGCGTCTCACCTGGTCAGGAATACTGGTAATTCGTTCCTAGGGAAAGTAAGAGCTAAGCTAGACAGACCCAGAGGATGAGTTAGAGTTAGTCGGGCAAAGAGAATGAAGGTGAATATACCATGCAAGGTAAGCAGCACTTGCGTAGGTCAGGCAATGATTTAGAACAACGGATGTAAAGAAAGCGCAGCAGATATGGAGCATGAGGTTGAAGAGGGGCTGGTCTGGGGTTCTGGGAGCTCCACCTCCTGCTCAGCAGTCCTCAGTGGCTCCTGACAGCTCTGCAGCATGGGCTGCTCCTGCTGCCTTGTTTTCTACCTTCCATCCCCATCCTCTGTTTTTTTGGCGCTACAGTCTCTCCAACCTCCTTGAGACTAGTTCCTGTGCTCCACACTTCCCCAGTATAAAACCCTTTCCCTGTATTCACTCTCCTCACCCAGCTGTAGTCTTGGAGAGGAGAGAGGTTACAGCTCAGGCCTTGAGAAGGAGATACAAGTAGATGATACTGATCAAGCTCCAACCTCCTGAATATGGATTGAGCATCCCTAATTTAAAAATCCCAAGTGGTCCAAAATCTGAAGTATTTTGAGCACTGACATGATGCCACAAGTGGAAAATTCCACACCTGACTTTATGTAATGGTTTGCAGTTCAAACACTGCAGTACAAAAATACCTTGTCAGATTACTTTTGGGTTGTGTGTATAAGGGCATATATAAAACATAAAAAAATTTCATGTTTTGACTTTAATCCCATCCCTAAGATAATTTTTTTTTCTTTTAAAGAGGTTTTTGCTTTAAGGCACATGCATTCCCTGGAAAGAGAGAGAGAGACAGAGACAGAGACAGTGAAAGAAAAAGTTAGAAATAACTCCCCAGGGGAATGGCCACCCATAATCCCTTCTCCTCCATTCTCCTTCCAGGGTCTTGGACATGCATGTGCAGGCACCTTGTATGATTTTCAAGCCACTGGGTCCAGGTGGCACCCTCTTCTCTTCTCTACTGTCTCTAGTATCTACGGTCCCCCTCCTTGCTATTATGACTTCTAGTATTTCAGGTTCTACTGTAGAGCATAGACTATCCAGTATATATTAAGCGGGGAAAAACAATGCCTGTCTTTCATGGTCTGATTTCTCTTAGCATTAAATTTTCTATATTCTTCCACTTTGTATCAAATGTCAGGGTCTCATCATTTTTTATGATTGAGTAGTATTTCATAGAGTACATGTGCCACATTTTTTCAGTTCATTTGTCTATTCTTGAACATTTGGGTTGATTCCACATCCATGTTTATTGCAGCATTATTCATAACCTGATTGTTAAGGGAGCTAGAGACCACATGGCTGTCCATGGTTTGACTCCTGGCTCTAGCGACTTGAAACACATACTGGGTACAAGTGTGTATATGCCCCAAATCCCAACAAGATGGAGAAATGAAGGAGGAGAAAGTGCAGCATGACCAAGCCCCAGACTGGGAGAGTGCTTTCTCCCTCCTCCCCTCTGTCTCTCTGGCAAGTGCATGTACTCTTTGGCAATTAAAAATATATATCATATATATCTTTTATATATTTATACATTATATATATATTGTATATGTTATATATAAATTACATGACCATGAATCAGAAATTAACTGGGAACAGATTGGATATCCATTAATATTTCATATACTGTGCATAATTTTCCAGGAAAATGTATGAATATACCCAATTTATAGTGGCCGCATAAGATTCCCAGTGTTTTGCAGGTGAAGTCTTTATTATAGTAGTATTGGTAGTCTGAGGTCTGTTTTATTCTAATGAAAGTTTTATATTTAGCCACAAGATGGCAGTCACTACTGCTAAGTTATTTTTTTTTCCTCCATCCAAGTAAATGCATGGAACTGCCCTTGGGTTTTAAATGTATGTGTTGCAATAGATGTCTCCAAAGCAAAGGATAAAGGGAGTTTTCCCTTCCCTTAAGTCTGCATGATAAGTGAAGTGGTAGAAGCTAATTTAAAAGAACTGATTTTTTTTCTCATTCTGAGATAGAGCATACAGTTTTCATTTTGCTGTAGTCTGCCGCCTTTCAGGTTTGCAAAGTACCAGACTCCACAATATGCATGGCATTTGCTGGCTGCGTGTCCATCTGTCAGAAATCCTCAGTGGCTTATCCGCATTCACCATTGTAAAATAAGCTGTAAAGTGTTAGTTGCTATGAGAAATGACAGATTGCCTTTTAGCAATCCAGTTTTGCAGGCAAAAGCCCTTGTAGAAACAACTTCCTGCAGGTCCAGTCCTGTGGAATCAGTATGTCTGGGGCCTAGAGAAGGAGAGTAACTTCCTGAGGGCTCCTTAGACTGTAAGTGGCGGAGGCAGGGTTCAGGTTAGGATTGGGTGGACACTCACCCATCAGTCCATATGTTGTCTGATAGCACATTTGGGTGATCACCTCAGCACCTGCTCTGCACCTCCTCTCTGCCCTGGCTCCCCCGATCTGCTGATGTGGACATGAGATTAGACTTGGGAATAGGACCTGAGTTTGCTCCTAGTTTTGTTCCCCTCTGCCTAAAGGACTTGAATGTCTTTAAATTCCTTGGAGCCATAAGGTTCTTATTAAAATAAAAGTGGAGAAATGAGGGAACATAGAAACGCTTTGTCCCCCAGGAAGCAATGTTCAAAGTGAGTAAATTTACTCTGAAAATGACCACCTTCCTCCCACAGCAAAGAAAAACGTCCTAGAGACTTCCAGTGGCCCTCATAGACCCACACATATAGGGACAGTAAACTCCCCAAAGTAGGAAACTTCGGAGCTCCTTTTGGGTTTGACAAAGAGAACAAAACAAATGAAAAAAAGATAAGGACGTTTCAGATATTAATTTATGAAGTTTTCTACACAGGTTTGTGAACCCATAAATTATTCCTTCCATTTTTTTTCCTAATATACATTGCACAAATATGTTGTCAAATTGGCATTCTCATATGCTTCTGATTGCATTGTAAATTTTAATAGCTTATGAATAATTTGATAATCACTATTGAGGCTAATAAACAGTATTTATATTCTTGGATTTGTCCATTTAATTTCTGATATTCTAACACATACAACTAGTGTAAAGAATAAAATGTTACACATAAAGATATTTAATTTTCAGTACATTTTTAAAAAGTATGTTTTGAGTACCAGCAGATGGCATAATGGTTATGTTGCTGGATTTCCCCATAGTCAACCATGGTTCGAGTCCTGGACCCAGAGACTTAAAACTCACACCAGGCACATGTGCATGCGTGCCTGAAATCCCAAGAGAAGTGATTATGGCATGGGCACCTCCTTTCGGGGTTGATTTCTTGCTTTCTATCTGTCTCTCTCTGTCTCTCTGGTAAGCGTGCACAAAAAAAAAAAAAAAAAAAAAAAAAAAAAAAAAAAGTGTTTTTGACCTACATCTCTCCAGTCCCCTTACCCCACAGCCTCTGGTAACTACCATTGCTGCTGTGAGATCAGCTTTTAAAATTTCATGTATAAGTGAGATCATGTTAGTACTCCTGGCTCATTTCCCTTAACACATACGGTCCTCCAGGTTCATCCATGTTGTTATAAATGACAAGATTTCCTTCCTTTCATAAAATTTCTTTCTTTTTGGGGACCAGCTATTGGCATAATGGCTATGTCGCTGGACTCCCACTCGTAGTCAACCGCGATTCGAGTTCTGGACCCAGTGGCTTAAACTCACACCGGGCGCGTATGCATGTGTGCCCAAGATCCTGAGAGGAGAATGGAGGAGAAGGGATTGTGGCATGGCCATCCCCCC